TTATGGAGCTAATCGCTATAGCCCCGCTAAAAATGGCCTAGCGACGCCCATGCGTCTTATGTCCATTTCAGAGAACCAGGACAAATATTTCAATCGATCGCTCACCATATTGGCAACGTGTTTCGGTACCCAACCCTATTAATGCGTTATTAATGCGTTAATTTTGACAGCCCTAATTTTAAATAAATGTTTATTTAACCTGCAATATTCCTAAATATTGCATATATAAAACACAAATTCACATGCAGACCTGCAGTTGGGCCACAGGCAGGTTAACATCAGCCACCATCTCCGTACAAGGATGTTCCACTTGAAGACGAGGGTTGAGCTCTAGGAAGTAAAAGCTGCTGTCTTGACTGTAGAGATATTCCACTGTACCTGCACTCACATAGCCCACCATCTTTGCCAACCTCACTGCGCACTGAAACAGAGATGCAAAGTTCCACACATTTCTTTTTTTCTGTTTAAGTAACCCAGTGTTTCCTGATGGCATATACATTATTCATTAGTTTAGGAAAACATTCGACTTCTTCTGAATCTGATGCTCAGTGATCATGATAGTCAGTGATACCTTCTCCATATCCTCAAACACATCAGAGGTGGCAATAGTAGCCGGAGCCTCTTCAATGATTTTCTGGTGTCTGCGCTGGACGGAGCAGTCGCGGCCGAACAGGGAAATGGCGTTACCGTACTGATCAGCCAAAATCTGCACCTCCAGGTGGCGAGCATGTTTGGCCAATTGCATGACAAAGATCGGGGAACCTGGAACCTCAGCTTGAACCTGAGTAACAAGTATTTTGGTAAGTTTTGGAAAGTTAACAGGTGTTTGAAATTGTAGTGTGGCAGTGAAGAACAACTCTGACCTGTCTAAAGAGGTTGGGCAAGTCTTCTGCACCGTTGACTTTCCGGATACCTTTTCCTCCTCCGCCTTCAGACGCCTTCACCATCACAGGGTAACCTATTTGTTCAGCCGCCTGTCAATCAAAACATGCTCTCTTACTGACTGGACTAAATTATGAACGCCACATTGTGCTTGATGTAAGTGTGTAGTATACCTTCAGTCCAGCCTCCACATCATGTACACAGCCCTGCTCGTACAGCTCAGTAGGGACATTAACAATTCCTTTCTTCTGGTCATTCTCTGTCCACTCTACAGTCAGCCCTGTACAAACACACCATCACTGTCAAACACCAAACCCACAATCAAGATGGTAGTAAATGCTGGATAGAAAGGGGCTGTGGTGGGTTTAGTACACCTGCCAAATTAAGGGTGTGTTCACACTAGTGTTAATTTTCAGCTATATAATCAGCTATTTTCAATTTTAGTCTTAGTCTTAGTCCAGTGTTAAATATCCTTGTTATTTATCATATTTAGTCAACCTTATCCTATTTAGTTTTAGTCTAGTTTTAGTCAATGAAAACTTGACATTTTAGCAAGAAGATAATTATTAATTAATCGTACAGCAGTATTAATTTTGGCAGACATTTTTTTAAATTTAGTCTTAGTCTTACTCAAATGTACATTTTAGTTATCATATTTAGTCAACCTTATCCTATTTAGTTTTAGTCTAGTTTTAGTCAATGAAAACTTGACATTTTAGCAAGAAGATAATTATTAATTAATCGTACAGCAGTATTAATTTTGGCAGCCATTTTTTTAAATTTAGTCTTAGTCTTACTCAAATGTACATTTTAGTTATCATATTTAGTCAACATTGCCCTGTTTTTGTTTCGCAAAGTTTAAGTCAATGAAATGTATGAGCATTTTAGTAAGGTTTTAGTCAAATCTTAGTCACATTTTCGTCATGCTGTATAATGGTTAAACTGAAAAAAATTATTTTTGCTCAAATTTATAATCGTAATGATTGTTGTCTGTGACGAGAGGGGCGGGGCCAAGAGCAGTGGGAACGGAGCGAGGCCGGTGGAGTACATGCTAATGCGTGACACCTGCGCCACTCACCGGTCTCGAGTCCCACGGAGGAGCTCCGGAAGGATAAAAGGAGGAGTGACGACAGTGTTGGAGGAGAGAGGACCAGGCCTGGATTTGACAGTCGTCCGCGAGGGGCTGTCGTGCTATTTTGTGTTTGTTTATTTTATTAAAGTTTTCTTTGAGCGTTCGCCGCTTCCCGTCTCCTTCGGCTGCCGTCCGTGAGGGAGCGGAGGAGTCGCCGCCGTTCGCCTGAGGCCGGAGCCTGCTGCCATCCGCCATGATGGGGAGGAGCAGGGAACGGGGGACTCCTGCCGGCTGCCCAAACCCGGAGGAGCCGTCACCGTCCACCGGGCGGCGGAGGAGTGTCGGGCCGTCCACCGAGGGCTGTCCAGTGCCGCTGCCTGGCATCGCGAAAGAGTTTACCCAGCTGGTGGGGGGCCGAGCGGCAGTGTGTCTGGGAACCGGAACAAGATTTTATTTTTTTTTCCTCTCTCCCCTCTCTCGTCTCTGTCTCTCCTCATCCTTCCGTCTCCTTTTCTCTCACCTCGTCTGTCTGTCCTTACCCCCAGGTAAGCCGCGGCCGCCGTGATCGGCTCCCCCGGAGGGGGGAGTAGAGCGCAGCCTCGTGGGTACCCCCCGGCCTGCGAGGGGCGATGGAGGCATGTGACGAGAGGGGCGGGGCCGAGAGCCGAGGGAACGGAGCGAGGCCTGTGGAGTACATGCTAATGCGCGACACCTGCACCACTCACCGGTCTCGAGTCCCACGGAGGAGCTCCGGAAGGATAAAAGGAGGAGTGACGACAGTGTTGGAGGAGAGAGGACCAGGCCTGGATTTTATTTTGTGTTTTGGTTCTGTTTGTGCGCAGAACTTTATTAAAGTTTTCTTTAAGCGTTCGCCGGTTCCCGCCTCCTTCTTCCCGAACTACGAACTTTGTTACATTGTCATTTAAGAAATTTACTTTTGCATTTCAGGTATTGCAGTTTCACCAGTAAGCACAAATCAGTAGAATGTGGACTCACTGTCTATTTTACCTCATCTAGTGTACTGATTTATTATAGGCTTTTTATTATATAAATTAATACCAAAGACTTAATTTATCCCTAACCCTAGCCCTAACCTAACCCTAACCCTAACCCTAACAGTGAAATTCCAAGTAATTCCACTATAATTCCAAATTGCAATAACCTATTTCTCTATTAAAACAACAGCGGTCGAGTAAGTGCATTTATTCAGCAACCACAATCGCAAACAATCATCATTTTCAATTCAGATCATCGGCGGCGCTTCCGCAATGAGGAGCGAGCGCGTGCGCATGGTTGCCAGATTGTAGTGATGGGAAGTTCGGATCATTCTACCGACTCAGACCTTTGAGTCTCGTTCAGCAAAATTAACAAATCTTTTTTCCGAGTCATTTCGTTCATTTTAGCAAAATATAATTAAAATGTTACGTGTTACTTCCCTAACACGTCTACTACTTATGCAAACGTTGATCACACTACAAATAATACAAAACTATAATGCTATAAGAAACAGAAAAGATTAATTCATTGTTTACCTGGGTCTTCAGTCTATGATTAGCTCACCTCACCTCTTATCTGACAAGTCATCTGGTTTGGGTCGTACGTTCATCACGTGACAGCCCCATAAACTTAACCAATGTAGTCTGAGCCGGAAAGAGAATTGATTAGTTCATCTCTCGAGTCTTCGGGTTTGAGTCTCTGTCATGATGGTTCGTTTCCATAACACTGAATGTGACAAATGTAACAAAGGTAATAAAGAATTGGTTATTATTATTATTAAGTCTCTTTCCGGCTCAGACTGCATAGTTTAAGTTTATGGGTCTGTCACGTTATGAATGAACGACTCGAAAAACCCGAAGACTCGAAACAGGTGAACTACTTGTCTAATTCCAGGACAGAACCTATAGGATGTTGCGCATGCGTGACTGAATGAATCACTCCCCGAGACGACTCGTTCTTCCCGAGTCACATTAAAGATTCGTTCAAAATGAACGAATCGTTCAAGAACGACCCATCACTACCAGATTGCTTAAAATAAGCAAAACACCGGGCAGAAAATGAGGGGCTACTGTATAACAGCGAAGCTCTGATTCGGGGATTTTAACTTTTGATATCTGGCAACCGCACTCATGAAAGCTTGCGTAGTAGAGGCGTGTAGAGCAGTCCGCAATAACATTGTGTCTCCTTTTTTTGATGAAAATAAAAAGGTTTTTGTTAAAGTTTTTATTTTTTTTTTAATACATTTTAGTCTCGTCTTATTTCGTCAACGAAATTACATGTTGATATAGTCATAGTTATCGTTTATTGACCTTATTGTCGTCTCGTCTTCATGGGAAAAAAGCTCGTCAACTAACATTTTCCGTCATAGTCTTCATTAACAAAATGAACACTAGTTCACACTTGTTATGTTTGGTTCAATTAAAACTGAACTCTGGAATGCGGAAAGAGCGGTGTATCCAAAACAAAATGAGCAGAGGGCAAAGTGGAGCAACGAGGAGGTAAAGTCCCTTTTATGAGCTCTTTGTGAGTTCGCAGGTGGTAAAAAACAACAAAAAAAACTTTTGTACACGTTTAGTCCAGCAGAAGGCATTAGGTGTATTCGACTTAAAGCCGCGCTGCGCAGATCGATCGGTAAATGGGTGCTTTGATGTCATACACCGACTGGTCTGCACAGCGCCGTTTTAAGTTGAACACACCAATTGTTTGGGGTGTTCGGTAAGTTCCGTCACGAAATATGCATCATTCAACCCGACCAATCAGATTGTGAACGTATGACTATGCCTATAGGTTCGGTATCTTTAGGTTCAAAAATGCCAGTGTGAACACTAAGCGGACAGGATCAAATATATTGTTTTCTTTTTTGGTCCTGACCAAACGAACCAAGAGAACCGAAGTACAAGTGTGAATGCACCCTAAAGCTCACATCTCTCATCTGAGTTTTTTAAAATGGAAAAACTTAAATCAAGCTCACTTACAAGTACTCTACCAACAAACACCAAAACACTCACTTATAAACACCAAAGATTGGGCAATATAATCAAAAATAATAATTTTGGTCAATGATATATATCGCACATATATACACATTTTTATGTAAGTATGATTTAAAAGAACTGAAAAATAATACTCATTATAATTTCCAAAGAAATGGTGGTAGATCAAAACTTATATATATATATTAGGGCTGCACGATATATCGAAATTATCTAAATATCACAAATGTAAATATTGGCGTGCGATATCTGAATCATTGTAATAATAGGCTACTTAAACCAAAACTAGGGGTGCTCCGATTGATCAGCTACCGATCACTATTGGCCGATAATCACGTTGGAATGATTGATCGGCGGTCTCTAAAAAGGCCGATCTCAAAAAAACGATCTCAAACTGATGACGCTGCCGTGAGAGGTTTGGCACGACATGCAGCTCACCATCTCAGTCTCTTTAATGTTTCTTCATTAAAGGGGTGGTTGACTGTTTTTTTTATAGGCTTGATTGTGTTTATGGATAACTTCACAAACAGCGTGAGTGAATCACCGCGCGCTCTCTCTCGTTCTCTCTCAAAATACGCAAATGGCCTCAAATCACCACATCGCGTCTGTCTATAAGCGAGCTGCACAGTTGACACAGGAATTGTCCCTTGCACAATCGAGGCAGTGTCACATCATCACTAAAGTTTATAAATTGCATTACTGATTAAAGCTTTAATACAGTTCGGCAACTGCACGCGTGTCCATGTATAACAATTCTCATAGTTATAGTACGTGAAAATAAGTGTATTCACTGGTCTGATGATCTGAATGAGAGAGAGAGAAAGAGAGCGAGAGAGATGCAGAGCGTGTGCGGAGCAGGGCGACACGAAGAACAGTATTAAGAACCGCTGCTTTAGAACATTGATTTTGAAACTTGTGAATCCATTAGAATCGTTAGAAGACAGAATCGCGATTCATATATGAATAGATTCTTACGTGCAGCC